TGGTTTGACCCAAAAATATAAATAAGGATGATTTAGTACTAAAAAAAATGGAAGCTTCAAGAGTCAATGACTAAGGTGGAAAATTAGCCTCGAACTATAAGGGTCCTTATATTATTAAAAAGGTTGTTCATGATACGACCTACAGATTACAAGACATAAATGGCAGTCCTATTCCAAAAACATGGAATGCGAACAACCTTAAAGTTTATTATCAGTAAAAGATGTAAAACCGAGCTCGCACTTGTAATTTTGAAATATACCTGTTGAATATAAGTTTCAACTATTAACTATAACTAGTATCAACGAAGTTAGGGGAATGCCCAGCCTAGTACTTGAATAATTAAATCTAGTTTAATAAATTCTAAACTGAGCTAGCACTTGAATAATTAAATTTAGTTTATCAAATTGAATGTTCAAATTAACCCAATACATCTTTAGGTTAATTTCATAGGTTGATTTCATAATCTTATTAGAGCTTAAACTTAAATAATTACTCTGATTATATCTTTAAAGTAAACCAAAAAGTGAAAAGGTAGATACAGATCTAAAGCTTTGAGCAAAAAATATATGTATTTATTCAGTTCATGAGAGAAATTTTGTTGAATGATTACAAATTATGATCTAACGAAAGTTTAATAGAATGATCTAATCCGAGGTTCTTTAAAAAAACTTAACCTTTCACTTAAACAAAAACAAGTAAAAAAAAGATAAAAACGAAAGTACTTTTTTCATTCTTTCCCCTTCTCAGTAGTAGCAGCAGCCTCTTTCTCGACCACAGGCTCAAGAGCAGCATTGAAATCAGTGTCCATGGTAGCATCCTCATCATCTTTCTCTTTCTTATAAGACAATGATGATGACCTCGTCTTGAGGTTGCCTAGGTTTGATATCACACATGTTGAGGTTTAGACTAGCAAATTTAAATTACACCTTATCTTTGCAAAGCTCAAAGGCACCGAAAATGTTCTCTCAAGAAAATTTGACTTGAAGATCAAAAAATCTCTAAGAAGTCGTGAACTCCTGAATGATTTTGTCTTTGATCTCCCATTTGGCTTCCTCTTTGGCTTTTTGCTCTACTTTAAGCTTTGACCTTAGCTTAGCAATTTTTTCCTGAGCCTCATTGAGTTTGAACTTGGATTTTTCCTTTTTGGACTCAGTTGAAACTTTTTAGACCTACATCTCTTTCAACTTGACCACAAAGTCATCAGCCCTTTTTTTCTATTCTTCTTTTTTTTTATGCAGGTTAGAGACATTGGTTCTAAGCTTGGTGATCACATCATTGTTCTTGTAATTTTCTTAAGCATACTTCTTAAGTTATACTCAGTCTTCTAATAATAAGTCGAAGCTCAGTAAACATAGAGTAGTCTTTCGTTAACTGTTTGGGAAGGATAAGTTAAAAACTTCTCTGAAATTACAAAAAGAAAATCAAGTTTAGATTTTAAAAAATAATGGAATTCATGAAACAATACAAAAATTGATTTAAAAGATAACTAACCTCTTTGGGGTATAATGACCTTTGTGAGTTTCATGGCCATATCAGTGTCCCCCAAAGGATTTTCATTAGAGTCATATTCCAAATTGATAGAGAAACGTTCTGAGGTGGGCTTCAAAATTTTGATCTCATGCATTATTGTGGAGAAGAAAGTTTCAATCTTTTGCCTTTTAGAGAGAGGGGCCTCTAACCCATTGTTCCATTCTGCTTACCTTTAGTAGTAGTAGAAACCTAAGTTGTGAAGCTCGATGGTTGAGGAACAAAAGGGTCCATTATTTTTATCTTTTTTTTATAAGGAAACCTGAGCTAGATAGGCTACTTTTGACCATTTTTTAGCCTTAGCTGATGGAAACACATGTGAAAATTGAATTTCTTAGAAGGCTTGATGTTGTCAGACATATCTACGAGATAAACTAAGTATTAGAAAAAGTTTACAAAGGTAAATACCTTGTGAAGCCACCTTAAACCTACCATAATACTTTGTCTCCTTCACTATTTCAAAAAAGGTCAACCTATATGCATCCATAACCAGCTTTCTCTTTTTGGTGAAATCCAAAATCTTGTCATAAGCAGTGAGATCATTCATTGTTAGAGGAGTAAGCTTATCTTCAAAAATCTTAGGCTCATTCAATAGTTTCTATATCTTAAGCTCATTATTTTTATTCTTATTTTCCTTCTTAATGCAAAGGAAGAGTAGCTTTCAATTCTTTATTAATCTCGAACAATTTGTAAAAAATTTTTTAGCCAAATGAACTATGATGTAAAACTAGCTCTTATCATAGGGATTTTTTACTAAGAAGAACTCCCTGAATAAAGTGATAGAGGAAGAATGTATAAGTTTTTACAAAGAATTATAAAGGTTATTATGTACCAAAGAGAATTTGAGGTAAGCTAAGTGATTGTTAAATTATAAGAAAGAAAAAAATTCAATAATAAAATATGTAAAGAGAACCTCAGACCGGCCATTATGGAACCCCAATACACCTAGATTTGGTGAGCCTTTAAGGGAGATGTGACCTGATCCTTAATGGTCGATATTAACACATTGTACCCTTCTTTTGAAAGGCCAAAGCTAACCTTCAAAGATCAGACATAATGAGTAGAGCATATGTTAGGGCAATCCTTAAGATTAGCCCTGCCATTCAAGCTTTTCATCACATTCTTAGGTTTAGACTTACATAACAAAAAGTGAAAATGGAATCTAAGCCAAGGACTCCAAATATGAAGAAAACTCTTACTTATTTTTTTTTCTTAACTTAGCTAATCTCCCCTTCTTACTCATCATCAAAACCTTTTTCATCATCAGAGTCTTTATCGCTAGAAGACTTAGACTCTAAAGTAAAAGTAAGATTTTGAGTAAGAGTAGTAGTAGAGACCATCATGATGTCAGAAAAAGATGAAGAAAGGTAGTGAGACTCTTTGACAATGAAAAAAATGAAAATCATCAACTGAGGTTAGCTCAACAGTAAAAAAGATGAAGGAAGAAAGAATAAAAAGTTAGACTTTAGAAACAGAAAGGGTAAAAAAAAAAGGTTAGATAAAAAAGCCAAACTGACATTTGACATTGGGACAAAATGATTCTCGAAGTCAGAATCCACCATAGCTAAAAGCTCATCCATCTTATCATGAGGCTGCTCTCTTATTCTGTGGAAAACCCATTCTTTCTTGGCATGAGCACTTTCCTTAAGCCTTCTTTATTTTCTTTTAACATCTAGTTTAACTAAAATGTTGCTATGCTATAATCCCTTCCTACAATGATAGAATGGACTCTATTATCTTCATCCCTACTACTAAATTGACTTCCCCTTAGAACCATCTTGTAACTTACTAAGCCCCTATAACTTGCATTAAAAGACATTATAAAAGAAAAAAAAAGACGCATATCGAGGTAAAAAAAAGAATAGAAGATTGGTTGAAAGAAAATAAAATCTTTAAGGTTGGTAAAGGCAGATTAATTGAGAGCAAAAAGACAATAAAGTGAAAAATAAAGGCTCCGAAAGGCTCTTTATATAGTCAATGTTGAGATCAAATGAACGCTTAAAATTATGCCATGTGTTCTAAACGTTTAAAAAGGATGATGCTTCGCCTTCATAGCTTTGGGTTTTTACCACCCAAATACCTCTCTCATCATTAAATGTGATTTTCAAACAACAAAAAGGTAAATCAATCATTACACCTATTCAAACCAATTAAACTAGTCACAAAACCTAAGTCAAATTGGCCAAACAAACCAATTGCTAGGTTAATCCTATATTAAACCTGAAAATCAAACTTCAACACCAAGAAAAAACACAAGTCTCACATTAGTACACACTACGTCAAACACATAAGTCACGTCAGTAGTTATTCATAAACTTGCTTAACCCAACCTCAATTCGCCTCGACACAAGATCACTCGCCTTGGCAACCCTATAATGGACCAATTAAACGTATAATCTGAAACACACGCTCAAAATCAAGCTTGACACCTTTGATCACATATCATGTCGACACACTTTAGAATGGCAAAGTTCACACTCTACCATCTAATACTCAAACTGCTTGGTGAGAGATGAGTGTTAGGGGTATTTTTGGGTTTAAAAAGTAAATTAATCGTTTCCCTTATTAAAGATTGTCAGCAGACGGTTAAGGATATTTTTTACTTTTGAGTTGATCTGACATGTATAGTACCACATTAATTTGAATATGTCACTATTCTATCTCACAAGCCTCTCAACTTCTACCTATAAATAGATTCAACTAGGTGCTATCTATTTATCTTATTTTTATTCTATTTTTCACATTTTTCACTTTTTTCCCAATCTCCAATAGCATATTTCTAATTTGAGTGTTGGAATGTAAATGTAGGGAACAATCCTTACTTTTACCTTTAATTGTTTTCTTTTTGTATTGTGATTTTAAGAATTTGACTCTCAGTTTGAAATTCGATATCAACACTTTTGGATAAGATTTTTCAAATTCGAAATCAGTTTGATTTAACTCATGAAGTTATTTTAATGTTAAATATTATTTTTTAATTAATTTTAATTTTAAAATATATTTAAAATAGTCAAATATTTTAATAAAAATTAGTTTTTACAATTTAATACTAAATATAAACTAAATGGACTTTTACGAGCTAACAACCCGATTCATAGACACATCTTCTTTACTATTATATTTTTATTTGTAATTACTTATTTTGTTAACTTTTATCTAAAGATTTTTTTAAAAAATTATAGACCAAAAAGTGATATAATATTTGTGAGGAATGCTAATTTTTATGTGTATAATATTTTAATTTAATTTAATAAAATTAATAGCATACGGGGTTATAAACTAATTAAAAAATATATAATGATAAAACTACAATCCGTAGTAAACTTATCCATGAACATTAATAAAGTAGTAAATTTGGAATTTATCCCAAAAATCGTGCTTTTTCGCATAGCGATTTTTTTTTTAATTTAAAAAATGCAAAAGAAGGAAAGTGCGACGTCGTATTCCTCATTGATTTCTCACTTTTGCATTTTAATCGCTTCCCAAAGCTGCCAAACGTTACCATTTCTGACAGTTTGATAGGGAGCGAAATCAATAAGAGAAGGCGTCTTCTAATTTTCAGCACAGATAAGAGAAGAGGGTTAATTGTTGAAATGGCGGCGGTGAGAGTAGCTTTGCTAAAGCATCTGAGGGTGAACGCAACGCCCCTGCCCCGTAACCCTAACCCTATCAGTAACGGGCTGTTCGCTCTTACCTTCAACGCCATACGCCGCCGTTTCTCCGACGAGGTCAAGGGCTCTTTCCTCGACAAATATGAGGTCAACGATCGTGTCATCTCCGTCGTCAAAAACTTCCAGAAAGTTGATCCTTCGAAGGTCTTTAATTTTTCACTTCACTGTTTTTCCATTTGTTTTTTTTATTTTCTTGAATTCTTTTGGGTGTAGATTATTTGTGTATCATATTGGGGTAATTAAACGTATTATTTGTTAATTCAATTAAATGAATGGTTATATTGCAAGTTCCAATGATATCGCTAAGCTAATGTTAAGTGGTTGTTTAATGTGTTATTGTTTTCCGATTGGTTTCCTCATATTTGCTTAAAAATTAGTAAGGATACAGCCAAGGGTGCCCTCATTAACAAACTTCTTAATATGATACTGGGTAAGTTGCCTTTCGTCAAATGTGAAATTAGCTTGGGTATAGCCCTGATAGGTTTATCTGGAAAACATGGGTTTAGGTTTTGGATTGTCTTGGCTTACTTTATGATTGTTCAAGGGTAAAGCTTTTTCATTTGTCCTAAATCAGTCGGATGACCTGCCTTTCAATTATTTGGCTATAAATTTCTCTATTTTGGTTAGTCTGATATGATAATTTCTACTACGCAAATGCTGATAACCAATAAAAAGAAGTCCTTGTTTCTCGCGATAGTTAAATGCCATGAAATTGATGTCTTTAAGTTGGAAAATCGATATGAACTTGAGGTAGATTCTGTATGGACAAACCTGCTCATAAGAAAATGGGAGTCATTTGTGTTGGGTCTATGATGTAATTTCAGTTTTTTGGAGCTGATTTCTTCCTGGTTCTTTTGACATTCATCTCAAGAGCAACCTTTTTTGTTTTCTTACTTGGGATATATGTGGGAAGGGGATGTAAAGATTCTGTAATTTGTAAATAAGCAATTTGAAGAGATAGTAATCATAATTTGCGGTGCTTGAGTGAATGATAAACAATCATTTAGGTTATTCAATTTCTTCCAGAGGAGCAGGAATAGGAAATAGGTCCTTTATAGGCTAGAGCTGATGCTGATTGCGGATATGATATAGAATTAAAATAGTAAATTAGCTTTGGCTGCATTGCTAGTCAAAGTTTTTGTAATATTAGTGTTGTTTAGTTGGTGATTGATATGCAAACAAGAATGACTTCTATACGCATTATATCAATTTAAATGGTAGTTGTAGTTGTAGAAGAAGTGTGATTTTAGATTTACTTGGAAAGAAGCTTTTGTCTAATACAAGTGGATCACTGCAAATGAGACGACTGTGTCTGGTGGGTATTCTACTACTCAGAAAGAAGATTGTAGATTTGGAAAATGCCAGCCCCTATCTTAGCTATGCAGCACAAATCTTGAAAATAGTTATCAAGTGTAAGAAGCAATGTAGTCCGGGTGCCTACACATTGGGGTTATTAACATTCTTGGCAAGCTCACTGGCACATATCTTTTTCTTGATGTGTCTTTTTGTGAGGAAACTGGAAAAGGCACACAAGGCACTCATGCTATCTTCCCAGTTTTTTTGCCCTCATTTCTTTTCCTCAATATATTTTGACATGAAAATAAGTATAATTTTTTAGGTTATTATGAGTGCAACTTCTAGCAAGTTCTTCTGGTTGCATATAGAATTTTGCTCTTGTAAGTGTTTCATTCTGTTTAATATCTCATTATTTTTTTCTTTCTAATTTGCAGGTTACACCCAGTGCCCATTTTCAAAATGATCTTGGATTAGATAGTTTGGACACTGTGGAGGTTGTTATGGCCCTTGAAGAAGAATTTGGGTTTGAGATACCTGATAATGAGGCAGACAAGATCACCACAATCAATCTTGCTGTTGAGTTCATTGCTTCTCATCCTCAGGCAAAGTAGAGGGGAAATTATGAAACTCTACTATTTTTTGCTTTGTTTTCGCTTTGTTCATGTGAGGCCTATAGCTTTATAGGATAATTCCCAAATCTTCCTGCCTGGACAAATGTCTGTAGTGCCCTTTGATTTTGAGTTCCTATTGAGGAGGATTGTTTGGATATTTACTGCTCATTTTCTTTTATTGCCTTAACAATATTTCATTTTAAGTAATAAAAGGTCATTGGGTTAAGAAAATGATTACTTGATCGCAGCTTTCATTTACTTGGCATTGCTTGACTTCTTTTTGGAGGAAAGTTGGGTTTGTATAATTGTCTTTTTGGTTGGCAGTTCTCAAATATAAAACCAAAAAATGGTTCGGGCTTTGCTATTGTTAAGCAAAATTTTAAAGACTGCTAAATGCTAATGAATAATGATGTTTTTTTTTTTTTTTTTCCCTAAATACGGGAAAAGATGATCCCAATAGGATATAGTACGTTTACATGGGTTGTATTCTATCGGCATCATGGTAAGAGTAGGGGTTTAGTTGAACTTGTTTGAGTTAATATTAGAATTGGACATTGTGTATTCATGCCGTATAACATATTGAAATTTGTATATTTATATTATATTTTATATAAAAATTATGTGATAATTTATATTGACACGAAAATATAAAATATTTATTTATTTTATTAAATTTATATATAATTATTGTTAAAATTTTAAATTATATCACCTTCAAATTTATTTTTTGTAATTTATTTGTGTTGTGTTATTGTGTCATGTTTTAAATTGTGAGGTTTAGTTAATATTTTGCTAAGTTCGAGTTTTGACTTATTAAAAAACTCTAGGTTCGAAACTCACTTCGAACTTGATCAAAAACTCATTTTGAGTTTGACTAAGTTGCATTTTTCATGTTCAAATTTGATATGTAATTTATTTAGTCATTCAAGCTTAGTTTGATAGATTCAATTAGTTAGATAAAATTGTAAATATACACATTAAACCTAAGATTTTTGTTATTTTTAGATTGAAATACTAAAAAATCCCTTAAACTATTTAACTTTATATAAATAAATCTTTATACTTTTTGTTATACTCAAATAAATTTTTATCATTTCATTTGTATTCATTAAACCTTCACTTCAAATAAAAGATTGATTTAAAGGATTTATTTAGATACAAATTAAAAATTAATAGCTTATTTAGATAATAATTAAAAATTAATAACTTATTTGGATACAAATTAAATGTGAAAGGTTTATTTAAATATAATAAAAGTATAAAAACTTATTTAAATAGAGTGATAAAATTTAGGGTTTTTTTTTATTAGTTTAGGCTTAGTTTTACCTGTATATGCATATTAAGTGTTGTGATGGATTTAGAATTTTTTTTTGTATTATTATTTATATATATATATTTCGATGGATTTATTAATTTTGTTAATAAAAATTATATTTTTTCTTTAATTTTTTTTTAACCTCTGGGGTGTCCAAAGAAAATTTTAACGAGTTTTTAGAGAATTTTTTTTAATTTTTAATATTTAAGAATAGTCATGACAAAGGATGGATTCAATGTTCATTAAATATATTTGTCATAACGTCTAGATCTGAGGATCTATCGCTAAACATTGACTTAAGAAGTCGCCACAAATCTTTTTTGTTTACGTGCGATTGGTTACTTAAGGAATCTATCATTTCAAGGAACACCTAAGCTTGACTAAGAATCCTTAAAAGAATAGGTTCGGCTCTATCAACTAGAACGGGGTTTGAGAGTTCAATTATGAGTGAGGAAGGTTATAGTGTTACGGACCTAAGAAATAGTCCTGAATCCCACATCGAACATAATAGGAGGGTCACTGGGGTATAAAAGGGTTCATATCACCTCTGCCTTGTTAGACGCCTTTTGTAGGACAAAACCGTGAGGCCAGGGAGGTCAAAGTGGACAATACCTCACAAGGGTGTGAACCGTGGCAGGAAGGCTGATCTGGGATGTCGGAAGGGTGAATGCCTGGGTCCCGGAGTCGCGTGGGTTCGGAGCTTAAGTCTCGACCCGTGACAAGTGGTATTAGAGCCAGCCCTAAACCGTTCGATCCATGCCAAACGCCTCCAAGGAGGTAAACAGGGTAGCTAGCCTTCGTGACAAGGGCGTCACGAGGTTGGGTGGAGGAGAATGTCATAGACCTAAGGAAGAGTCCTAAATCCCACATTGAACATAATAGGAGGGTCATTGAGGTATAAAAGGGTTCACACCATCTTTGCCTTGTGAGGCACCTTTTGTAGGATAAAACCGTGAGACCAGGGGGGCCAGAGCGGACGATACCTCACAAGGATGTGAACCGTGGCAGGAAGGTTGATCTGGGATGTCGGAAGGGTGAATGCCCGGATCCCGGAGCCGCGCGAGTTCGGAGTTTAAGTCTCGACCCGTGACAATAGTACCCTCATAATGACCATCGAAAGATGATACCAACTCAAATTTGCGTTATCGAATAAGCCTTAAAAATTTACAAAGTAATTAATTATTAAAAATTATTATTAATTAACTCTAATACTTTTAGCAAAAAATTAAGAAAAACCCTTTACCTCAAGAGTATGCAAGAAAACTATTGTTTCACTTGTAGAGACTTCATCATCGAATTATTTAACATAAAAAAAATTTTCAAGAAAGAAAAAAAAAAGAAATAAAATAAAATAAAACAAAAAAAAAATAATGATTCAACTTTTTGATACAAATCCTTTTCTTTTCATTTTATAAAAAACCCATTGCTTTTATACAAGAAAAATTGATACTTTTAACTTTTCCTTAAAACAATTAGAAATTTTTATTTTAAACATTTTATTTTTAAGAAAAATTGATACTTTTAACTTTTCCTTAAAAATATTTTTTTTGAAAATTTTATTTTAGAAATTTCATTAAAAAGAAAATTAACATAAAACAAAATTAAAATTAAAATTAAAATTAAAAAAATTTTAAGGAATACCAAATAATTCTAATTTAGAAATAATAATAATAATAATAAAAAATAAATAAATAAATAACTAAATAAATAACTTAATAAAAATAAAAACAAAAAATTAATAAATGGAAAAAAAAACCTTAACTAGTTCGGCTTAGTGGCTGGGATTCAGCTCGGTTATAGGCACAAACCACGGCTTGGATGATGCAGCTTGGCGGCTCAGCTCGGCTGGAAAGACTGACTGAGGCGCAGGTCAAACTCGGGTCAAAAGCAGGTTGTGCTATGGGTCGGGTCGCCTGAATGAAAAACGCGCGGATCCTAGGTCTTAGTAAGGCCAAAACGACGTCGTTTTCAACAGGTATAAAAGACAAAAGTTTTTTATTTTCTTCAGATGCTTTCTTTCCCTCTGTCTCTCTTCCCCTCTTTTCTTTCCCCTCTTTCTAGCATAACCTAGTTTTCAATTAATATTTAATATGACTGGAATCTAAATTTTTTCATCGAAAAAGTCATTGGAAAACTTAAATCTCGTTGGAAAATTTCGTCAGATTCTGAAAATTTTCTAGAAATTTTTCAAAAAAAAAACTCTAAAAAATTCAAAAATTTTAAAAATTTTAAACTATCTCTAAACACTTTTTGCTTCTGTTTCACCTCTTTGTTGTGTTTTTTCTGTGTATTCCTTCCTGCATGTTTCAATATCTATTTATAGCAATTGATCAGAAAAGTTTTTGATCAATCTCAATTCTATTTGGGATTGAAATTCAAACTTTGAATCCAATCCCAACTCTACCAGCCCTCAAATTCACGTTCAAATCTACTTCCATCATTTATTATTATTATTTTTAATTAATCTAATCATTATCTCTTAATTAATCAAAAAAAAGATAAAATCAATAAAAAATAAAAATAAAAATAAAAATATAATAGTATATAATAAAAATAAATAATAAATGAAAAAAAATAATAAAAAAATAGATACATCTTATCTATTTAAATCAGACTCAATTGTTTCGAATCTAAATTAAATGTCTATAATATTAAAAAATTAAATATTCAATTAAATTAAAAAATTTTTCGAGTTAAATATTAAAACATTAAATTTGATTCGACATGTTACTTAAATAGTTTATAGCTAAATTCAATTTGATAATAAACAAGTCAAATTTATTATATTGGAGTATTCATTGAACGAGATTACATTTTCCTTGCATATAGAGGAGAGACGATCCGAGCAATTAATCAAAGTAAATATGCTTAAGGTAAATTGTGCATTTTTTGCTTAATTTTGTTGGTTGAAACAACAAAAATGACTAAATTGGATATAAGAGAAGCCCAATATTTACTCCCGAGAATCTTGTATCAAACGTAACTCAGGTGTAATTGAGTTGACTATAAAAAAAAAAAAAAATGGAAGGCGTAATTGAGCTGAGTCCAGCTACCATAGCGTTTTTACCACGCTCAAGCTATAATTCAAGCTCGGCTGAACTCTATTTTTATACTTAAATTAGGAGTTGTTTGATAAATTAAACAAATTTAATTTTAAAAATTAAATTTTGAATTTTGAAAAATTTAAATACTAAATTTATAATATAGAAATTATTTGATATGCTACTGAAAATTAAAAAATTAAAAGATTTTTTTATTAATCTTTTATAAAAGAATTAAAGATATGATTTGATAAATATTTTCAATTGAAAGAAGTTAAAAGAACAAAAAAAAAAATAGTTAAAATATAAAATTAATTTAATTCATTAATTTTTTTTAAAAAAATTTGAAGTAATAAATTAAATAGCTAAAAATTACTTAACATTTTAAATAATTTTCATTGAAAATCTGTTCTTAAGTGGTTTCTAAAAACGAATTATCATACATATTAACTAAAATCAAAGAAAATTAGTTTGATTAGTAGATTAGGTTGTTTTTTATTGTAAACATGATAATTTATGTTATACATTTATATTATATTTTATATGATAATTATATGTTAATATAAAAAAATATATTTTTTATTTTTATTAAGTATATATATAATTTTTATTAAAATTTTAAATAATATTATTTTTATATTTTTAAAAAAATTTTATGCTGTATGATATATTATATTTTAAATTATTAAATCCTCTTTTACATCATTATTTCTGTTCTAACAAATCAGGAAACGTAAAAGAAGGGAAAGGACCACACAGAGCAGACTTTGACTTAGAAAGAGTCAACAGTTCACACACCCAAATAAAAGCTAAAAAGGTACCACCAGAAGGCTTTTGGAAATTTGAACGGTTTATCCCTTACCAACCCTTCAAAAATCTTCCGAACTTAACTTAGGGGTTG